CGGCCCAAAAAAATCTCGTTCGGTTTTTGTCCCGCGGAGTTTGGGCGGGGAGGGGGGGCCCTCGCCCACAAAAGCCCCCAGGGGGCGCCCACCCCTGGACGCCCTGGGGGGGACCACGGTGCCCAATAAAAAAAAAAAATAAAAGGCAACCCCCGTCTCCTCCCCCCCGGGACAGAGAAAAACAGTCCCCCATGGTTGGTCGGGACAAGAAGCCCCGGCCCCCCCCCACAAAAAAAAAATAAATATTCTTCTCCACGAAACAGAGGTATGGGGGGTACCCCACCGAAAAGGCTCCCCCCAGCAGAGAAACGGTGGAGTTCGTTCCCCTACGGGGCCCCGAAAAGGAAGCGTAAACGACCCGGGGGGGGGGGGGGGGGGCTCCGTAATCTCACCGGCGTCCTATCGTCTTGATCAAGAGCATCCACGTCCGCACCGCGCCTGATGAAGAATCTCGCCATGGCGACCATGCCCTTGCCCGCCGCCGTGTGTAGTGGAGTGCTGCCAAACACAAACGCGAGCAAAAGATGTACACAGGCGTTGAGAGCAGAGAAAAACGGTGAAAAGACGGGCGGGGAGCCAAACGGCGACATTTCTTTAAACAAGGTTTGAAAAAGAAGTAATTGATGTAGAAGTGGCGAGGCTTAGGTATTCCCGTGGAAGAAATCGATTCAGGGACACGTGGGAGAAAAGCCCCGCACGATCGACCATCTCTCGATTAACTCTTGTCTGTATGGTCCCGGTTCGGAGTTTCTTAGCTAAGAGGGTGCAGAAAAGGGGTTTTGACGCTGGCTCTTTTCGTATACTTTAATCCTATACCAAGAAAGGAAACAACCTTCTCGCCAGGGTTAGGTTAGGCATGCTATTGTCATCAGTAGAGGACACCATGAAGAGGCGTTGTGCGTGCTGGCACATAGCGGCATCCAACATTTGTCACAGCCATGCTCGCCGCCACGGACCATAAATCCCTGAACGGAGGGGTGTCAGCAGTAGCTAGTGGCATCAGCTACAGGCTGTAAACCCGTAGTTCAGGAGATTGGGGTCGGTGGCGGCGAGCATGGCTGTGACAAATGTTGGATGCCGCTTGGTTCCGGCGCAGATTTCGGACTGTTTTCAAAGGCTACTGCGACCTTCGATATTTCAGCTCCAGTAGCAAGCCTGAACGTGCCAGCACGCACGACGCCTCTTCATGATGTCCTCTACTGATGACAATAGAATGCCTAACCTAACCCTCAAAACTGACCTTGTTTGAGCGCCTTCCGTTTTGGCTCTTTCGACTTGAATTTAGAACGGTGTTAATTTTTATCTTGATTTTCAAAGTAGGCCTGTGGAGGTAGACGCATGAAATGTATGTTTTGAGCAGCCTCTACTGCCGCCCTGTGCGAGAATCAACGATTTCTGTTTTTTGCGGTGCCTTCCTACTGGTCTGGTGTGTCTGTTGTGCAATTTCTGGTGCTCTTGCGTTTTGTTTTCAAAATTAGTCAACATCAATATTTTCTTCTGCACCCCCTTGAAAGAGGCAAGCCTGTGGGGTAGGCTACGACACTTTGAGCGACGGCTGCCGCAAACTAAAGAAGGAAGGGGTGGCAGCCCGTCGAAGTAATTCTGCGAGGGGAACATGATACATACACGCAGTTTGTTAGAAACACCTCTTGGAGCCTTAGCCGTGGTTTTCATCAGGACCGACCGACCGACCGACCGAACGAAGACTCTTCTTTACATCTATCTCGACTGTGCAGTGCTGTTTGGCCGTATCGGCACATCGTAGCTCCTCACTAGACAAGGCAAGAAACCCTCAACAAAAGAGGTACGCGCGACGGCCGCGATGCACGCCAAAATGAGGTTTTCTACCCTCCGAAATTTGTGTCGCTTCCGTGTGGCGAGGAGTTCCTCGGAAAGGGGATGTTGCATAGAGGAATTATTCTACCTCGGCATGCATACTGTACATAGTGGGACTTCTGTACGCGTTCTTACCGCCGGCACCTTGACGGTGAGCACGTCACTCAGGACACACAATTTCACCCCTCCTCTCGGCTGCATATAAAGTTGTTTCGATTTGCCATGCTCCTTTCGAACACAAACACCCGGCACAGACCAACCATACCCCGCGGCGCTGCTTTTTCCCGCCGTGCAGCGTGGTTGCACACACGATACATGCCTTTTTTTTATGTATGCCTCCAACCCCGTCGATATTTGCCTCCAGCCACGACCGGACCAGAAGCCAAAAGAGCCCCCCGCATGCACACGACCAGCAACAGCGAAGAGAGACACCCAAAGGACAGGACACCATCAAACCGACAGCAACCACACACAAAAAAACAAGCACGCCAACGGGGCCCCCTCTCCCTCCTGCCACTCACTCACCGCCCCCACTCGTCCCTGCTGTTGACGTTGCTGCCCCGCTTGTCCACCAGGAACTGCGCCGCCCGCGCCGCCAACGCGTGGTCTCCCCTGAGCACGGCGCAGTGCAGCAGCCCGTCCGGTCCCTCCATCACCGACACGTCGGCGGTTCGCGACGCGCGCGCCTCCGACTTCTTGTCCCCCAGCAGCGTGTTGGTCTTGTGCTCCGCGAAACTCTGGGAGCAGGCCGCCATGAGCGACTCCCCCCTGATGGCCGCGCTTACTCTGAGCGTGTTGACCCACTCCTCCGTCTCCATCTCCTCCGTCTCCCGCGCCGGGGTGAAGTAGTTGTCCGACCCGCCCTCGACCCCTCCCCCCGGTACGATACGGGGATAGAGAGTCCTGCCGTTGCGGGTTACACATAATCACGTTGAGAACGTTGAGTTGTGTGGGTGTACACAAGTGAGAGAGGCGCTACGTGATGCTACTGGAACTCCGATAGGGTGGGTATAAACAAAGCCTTTTCTTACTAAGGTCGCGTCTTTGCTGCTATCATACTGCATGCTCATGACCATCTCCCAGGCATCAACTTGCCGTAGGTCTTGGCCTTCTGTACTGATGAGCTAGGACACGGGGTCAAGCCGAGGGCTCCGCGTGCGTGTCTCCATTCATAGCAATGGAGAGAAAGGGGTCCAGCAATGTCATTTCCCTCGTCAACAACAGCTAGTAGCAGTGACAAAAAAAAAAACCAACTGGCAAAAATCCTTCAGAATCTGTAAGCCTCAAAAATGGGCACTGGACTCCATTCCGCGGAACATCGTTTCGCGGGATGGGTCTCCAAACGCCACCAGGGCAAGGTACGGGTACGTGCGCGGTGTACGGGCAAGAGAGTCATGCCAAAACGTTGCCGACGTGGAGGATACGGGTCAAGCACGTCGTACAGTACACAACAAGCTTCTGCTGGTGTTTGGTACCGGACGGCCGGCTGGCGACTTACGCCCGCCCGCACCCGACCCCCAAGAGTTCGAACAACGCTATGCCTGTGCCGGCACCAGGAACTCTGGCTACGCCGCAGTGCCGACGTCACCACAGCGCCGGGGCACGTGATCTCTGCAGACCGTGTGGGGGGGGGTATTCCGCTCATCCCACACAAAAGGTGGTACCACAGCCAAGGAGCGATTCTGTTTGGACACCCCCTCGCTCTGCGGCGAAAAAAACACCTCGAGAGCTTTTCTTTGACACTATAATATAATAGGCGGCGGCAGAGGCTACATACAGGTTTTTGATAAAACCAAACCATCAAGTAGGAGCCGCGGATGTGTCTCAAGCCATTCTTCGCCTAGTCACTAACAAGTTAAAATCGTGTACAGAGCCACACCGGGATCGATTTAAACCCATGGCCGCAAACGTCTACATCTCATTCAGGATACATGTTTTACCTTTGAACCACAGAGTGCAGCGTGATCGTTTCTAGCACGATTCGGTTTCCTCAAAAGGCAGGCGACCTGCCAAAAACTTGTGTGGGTCTACCTTCTATATGCCACTGGACAGCAGTACCATGAGTGAGAAAAAACAAATTCTGATCGTACCAGACTTGCAATCGTGCCGTGAGACATGGTCGGCCAAGCCCTGATCCGCCAGCGCGGCAACGCAATACGTATAGGTGGAACGCCATCTGGAGACTTCGCGCGTCGTGGGTGGCAGATGTTCTGCATGTTTGGTGTGCTTCAAGTTGGTGCTCGTGTGTGCAATGTGCGCCTCGGTGTAGTTGAATGCATGTCGGTGGTTGGCGTCTCAACCACGAAAATAGAAGCTTATCAAAGGAGACACACGGAATGACGGGTGGAAAGTAGCGAGACGATCCCAACGCAAAACAAAGAGCAAAATAGTCGGTTCGCCGTCTTCCTGTCTACTTAGCATAGATTGCCGTGTGCCACGGCTGCTTCCCCAATTCATTTATATTTCAAGTGCCGTTTGTGTACTGGTACGATGGCGTCACGAACGGGGACAGAAAGGTACGACAGTACCATACTGCTGTTTACTGCTCAAGACTCCAAAATCCTCGCTCGGTACGATGCGTGCGGCGTCACGAACGCATGGACCGATAGTACACCAGGAGACAGGTGTGCTACGTACTGCTGCTGCTGCTGTGGTGTTACGATGGCGTCACGACGAACAGTAAATAAAACGAAGAAGAAGATGGTGTTCTGGTGCCGCTGTGGGTATTCTTTCGACTCCGTGTCTCGGTACGTACGACGGCGTCACGAACGAATATAGGAGCATGCCACACACAGGGAAACGCTAGAGGTTGAATAAAGCACTGTCGACACTGTCAAAAAAGATGCACGGAGGACTGCTGTAACATAATATGGAAGGCTGGCTAAATAGGTGGGCATGACATGCCTCTCTCCATAGTCAAGATGCGGCGAGCATGCTGACAGTGTAGTTGACACATGTCGTTTCGTCGGCTACCAGGGTCAACAGCTCCATGTGAAGGGATGGGCAGGAGCCCTTTCGGTGCTCATGGTTGAAAGCTGCTTGCTTTGCCAACTGGGGGCGAAATGATGTCCAAAGGTCCATTAGAGCGTTTTCCGAGGGACCCATGCAGATGAGGGCAAGAAGTGACCAGCGGGCAGCGACTGGATGGGGCGCATGACGGGAAACATATATCCCCGTTGGCCATAAGATGCAGTTTGCGTCTGCGCCTAGGAAAACCCTTGCTTGTGCGTCGCAATCTGATGTGGGAGATGCACCACAGGCATGCCATCGGGCACGTGTACTTCTAGCTCCACATGGAAATTAAGGTTTGTGTCGAGGGGACCAGCACGTGATGAGAAATTGCGGTCTGATTGTTGCTGGCAGTCGAGGTCGACCGCTGGGTGGCGAAGTGTGTTGTCGCACGCGGCGTGCAGATCGTATGGCTTCAAACTTGCCACGAAGTTGTGTCTACTGGGTCGTCGTTGACTCTCAAAGTTTGATGGACGTCCGTGAGCAGGCTTGGGAGGTCTCCCTTTGCGGGAAAAAAAATGGTTTTGTCTGCCGCGGGTGGGAAAAGTAGCAGCCGGATTTGGCCCAATCGCTGCCGCCGTGCTCGCTTTGCTTGCTCACCACCAGCGTTCACGAGACTTGGGAACATGCCAATGGGGCTGTATCTTGATCACCGCCGCGATTTCATCCGCGTGAGTTGTGCGAGCGGAGAGGAATCGAGCGTGGAAAGCGACCACTTTTTCATTTGATTTTGCATACATGTAAGTACGGAAATCGACGTACGGAAATCGACAGATAGTCTGGGGCCCTCCGCTCCCCTCTATGAATATTCATCGTATGTTGCATTGCATTGTTGGTCTTTTGTCTTCTCGACCAATTTCACAACGTCGGCAAAAATCGATTTTCAAAGCCCGCTTGGGGGCAACCAACGGCAAAAAGTTCATTTCAGGTGGCGCCTTAGTACGGCATTGAAACGAAAGTGTGTGGGTCGAGTGAGTTTCCAACGCGACATTGTAGTGCCAACAAGCCACGATATGCTTACGACGAAAGCGCATACGGTGAGTCGACGAGGAAACAAGTTGCATGCGCCAGAAGCGTGCCACCATGCGCGCTGTATCGGTCCTCTTGACTGGTTCGCCGTACGCCGTTTATCTTCCAGTCTTGATCGCTCTTTTTCTCTTTTTCGCTTTCGGACAAGGTTGGAAAAAAAATCGGATCTCAGGGTTGGCGTTGCAGCACCCAACGGCATCATGTTCATTTTGAGAGGTGGTTTAGCAATGAAAATGTGATTGGGCCGAGTGATTTACCAACGCGACCTATCGAGCCAATGATACGACGACGCATACGGCACGCCGCCATGCTGCCTGCATACGCCAGAATGGTTGTAAATATGTTTTGACGATGAATGTATGGAGCAAACTCTCACACAAAAGAATTTCATCCGGCTCTTAGAAAGATCTACAATACAGCGTAGACGTACAGCAGTGTACAATATGCGTACGTACCACACGACGGGGGGGGGGGGGGGGGCGTACTCTTTTTTTGCTTGCCGTAATCTTTTGACCTTTGACCCCCCGTCCCTTTCGGAACGGAACCCCGTTCCTACCCCTACTTGAAACACCCCCAAAATTTGGGAGCTCTTTACTTTTCTGCCCCAAACAACGGGGGGGGGGGGGTTAATGGAGGCCCACCCCCTAACCCAGGAAAAAACTCCCGTATTCCAACCCCACAAAATTCCCAAAACCCCTACAACGGGTCTTGAAAATTTTTCCAACCCTTT